GAGGCTGGACTTCATAGGGGCAGTCCTGGACTCGGTGGCGGCACGGGCGAGTCTTCCAGTATCGCGATTCCTGGCTATCAAGGAGGCCGTGACCTCCATTCAGCGATTCCCTACGACCACGGCCAGATGTTGCCTGCAACTCTTGGGGCACATGGCAGCGTGCACACACGTAGTCGGGCTCGCCCGTCTCAGACTCCGGCCGCTGCAGCTGTGGTTGGCTCAGGTGTATCGCCCCAACAGAGACCCCTTGGACATGGTCGTCACGATCCCGGCTCGGGTGTCGAACGCCCTCCGTTGGTGGCTCGATCAACAGCAGGTTTGCCCGGGGATCCCGTTCGCCACCCCACAACCGACTCTGACGCTAGTAACAGACGCGTCGGACCTGGGTTGGGGAGCGCACCTAGGGAACCAGCGCACTCAGGGCTTGTGGTCCAGGGAGGAACGGTTGCTCCACATCAACCTGAAGGAGCTGAGGGCGGTTCGCCTCGCCTGCCAGACCTTTCACGCCACCATAAGAGGACACAGCGTGTCAGTTCTGACAGACAACACTACCGCTATGTTTTACATAAACAAGCAGGGCGGGTCCCGGTCCTCTCCCCTCTGTCACGAGGCTCTCCTCCTCTGGGACTTCTGCATAGCCCATTCAGTACAACTTCGGGCAGCATATCTCCCCGGGGTCCAGAACGGGCTAGCGGACCGTCTCAGCCGATCATACCTCAGGCACGAGTGGAGGCTGAGACGAGACATCCTCCGTTCTATTTTCCTGAGGTGGGGGTTTCCCCAGGTGGACCTGTTTGCCAGCAAGGGCAACAGCCAGTGCCCGCAATTCTGCTCGTTCCAGGGTCACAGTCCAGGCTCTATGGCGGACGCCTTTGCAATCCCGTGGGGCGGAAGCCTGAAGTACGCCTTTCCCCCGTTCCCACTCATTCACAGGGTCCTCCTAAAGGCCCGCAGGGACAGGGCGACAGTCATCCTAATCGCCCCGGCGTGGCCACGCCAACACTGGTTCACAACTCTGTTGGAACTGTCCGTGACCGCTCCGATAGCCCTTCCCCTCCATCACGACCTCATCACTCAGGATCGGGGTCGCCTACTCCACCCGAACCTGCCGTCGCTGCATCTCACGGCATGGCTTCTCTCTGGCTAAGTGAGGTGGAGCACAGGTGTTCCCACGAGGTCCAGCAAATCCTCCTGGGTAGTAGGAAACCCTCCACGAGGGCAGCCTACCTGGCCAAGTGGAAGCGCTTCTCCCTGTGGTGTGAGCCTCAACACTCACAGCCTTTACAGGCCTCGATACCGCTGATTCTGGACTACTTGCTGCACCTCAAGCGTCAAGGCCTCGCCCCCGCTTCTATTAAGGTGCATCTGGCCGCCATTTCAGCGTTCCACCCTGGGGAATCGGGCAGATCCGTGTTCTCCAACCCCACGGTGGTCCGATTCCTCAAGGGTCTGGAGCGGGTGTTCCCCTACTCGCGCCCTCCTATACCCCCGTGGAACCTCAATCTGGTCCTCACCAAGCTTATGGGGCCGCCCTTTGAACCCCTGGCCTCTTGCTCCCTCACGCACCTTTCATGGAAGGTCGCGTTCCTCGTGGCCATCACCTCGGCTAGGAGGGTGTCAGAGTTGAGGGCCCTCACCTCGGAGCCCCCTTATACCATCTTTTATAAAGATAAGGTGCAGCTTAGGCCTCACCCTAAATTCCTCCCAAAGGTGGTTACGAATTTTCACATGGGGCAGGACATTTGTTTACCGGTATTCTTCCCTAAGCCCCATACGGACCCAAGCCATCGCGGCCTACATACCCTGGATGTTAGGCGGGCATTGGCTTTTTATCTGGACCGTACCCGGCCTTTCCGTAAATCGTCTCAGCTGTTCGTGGCCGTTGCAGAACGCATGAAGGGCCAGCCTATTTCTGCGCAACGCCTGTCGGCGTGGATCTTGCATTGCATACGTACGTGTTACGAGCTCGCCAACATGCCTGCTCCTCAGATCAGGGCTCACTCCACTAGAGCCCAGGCGTCCTCGACGGCCTTCTTGGCACAGGTCCCACTCCAGGAGATCTGCAGGGCAGCCACCTGGTCGTCAGTGCATACCTTCACAGCCCACTACGCGGTCCACCATCAGTCCAGAGATGATGCAGTGGTCGGCAGGGCGGTGCTGCAATCAGTTATTCCTTGACTCCTACCCTCCTCCAATGGTAAGCTTGCGAGTCACCTAATGTGGAATGGACGTGAACAAGCACTCGAAGAAGAAAAGACAGTTACTTACCTTCTGTAACTGTTGTTCTTCGAGATGTGTTGTTCACGTCCATTCCACTTCCCACCCTCCTTCCCCTCTGTCGGAGTCACCGGCAAGAAGGAGCTGAGGGAGGGTCGGGCCGGCAGGGGTATATATACGCGAGGGCGGGGTGCCGCTCTGGCGGGAAGGGAGACCCTGCGGGCCCGACGGGAGCCGCTGAGGGAAAAAGTTTCCGACGATTCGTGCACGCGGCGCGCGCACACCTAATGTGGAATGGACGTGAACAACACATCTCGAAGAACAACAGTTACAGAAGGTAAGTAACCGTCTTTTTCCATGTTGGTCAGATTTTCTAGACCCTTAATGATTTTTGTTGTTCTCCTCTAGACGTTCTGCAGTTTGTCCACGTTTCCCGAAATGTGATGCCTCGAATTGGAAACAGAACTCCAATTGAGGCCTTTTCAGTGCTGAGTAGAGTGCAAGAATTCTTTATCGTATCTTGCTTACAATATTGCTAATACATCCCAGAATGATGTTGGCTTTTTTCCACAGTATTATGTTGTTGACTCATATTTAGTTTGTGATCCACTGTAATCCCCAGATCCTTTTCTGCAGTACTTCCTAGGCTGTCATATGCCATTTGTGGAATTGATTATTCCTTCCAAAGTTAGTGCTTTGCATTTGTCCTTGTTGAATTTCATCCTGTTTATTTCAGACCATTTGTCCAGTTTGTCAAGATCATTTTGAATTCTAAGACGCTTGCAATCCCTCCCAACTTATCATCTGCAGACTTTAAGCGTGTTCTCTATGCCATTGTCCAAACCATTTATGAAGATACTGAATAGAATAGGACACAGGACAGATCCCTGCAGGATTCCATTCAGTATGCCCTTCCAGTTTAACTGTGAACCATTGATAATTACTCTGAGTATGGTTTTCCAACCAGTTGTGCACCCAACCTTATAGTAGATTCATCTAGGCTATATTTCCTCAGTTTGCTTATGAGAAGGTCATGTGAGACCATATAAAAAGCCTTACTAATGTCAAGATACCATATCTGCTGCTTGCCCCCTATCTGCAAGGCTTGTTACCCTGTCAAAGAAGGATATTAGATTGGTTTGACATGATTTGTTCTTGACAAATCTAGGTTGACTGTTTGTCACCTTATCGTCTAGGTGCTTACAAACTGATTGTTTGCTCCATTATCTTTCCGGGTACTGAAGTTAAGCTAACTGATTTATAATTCCCTCGGTTGTCCTTATTCTCCTAGGGCTTGTCTACATATACAGCGCTGCAGCAGCACCACTGTAGTGCTTTAGTGAAGACACTACTATGCCAATGGGAGAGCTTTTTTTATTGGCATAGTTAATGCACTTCTGTGAGATGCATGGGTAGAGCTCTCCCCTTGACAGTGCTGTCTACACTGGGGGTTAGGTCAGTATAACTATATGGCTCATGGGTGTGGGTTTTTCACACTCCTCAGTGACGTAGTTATACCAACATAAGATTGTAGTATAGACCTGGTAGAAAGCAGTATTGTGGAGTAATTGCAGGTTCCACCGTTTCCTGCATGCTATCTCAACTTTATACACTACATACTCTAGGCTGCATGGACAACTGGAGAAGTTAATATAAAACTTTTTAAATTTCCTGTATGCATTGTATGGAAAGGGGGAGAGGCAATGATTGGGAGTGCTGCTCTGTTTTCCTTCGTGATCTTTAGAAATTTGGAGCCTTCTTCAGAAGGACTAGAGAAAAGGTGTTAGGCACTCCTATGCCAATGTGAGACTATTTTATTGATTTTAACTCCTTGATTGATTGTCCAGACAACTTTATGTAGGTTCCCTCTTGAATTCTCTCCATCTTCCTCGCTTTTAAACTAGTCATTTAACTCACCACCTTTTTTCTTTTTATTTAATAAATGGTGTGAATTTTTGTTTTAGTTGTTTAGTTCTCAAATTTGTACATAAGGTGGGCACAAGTCCTTAAAGCAATTTTCCAAACTACCAAATCCACAAATTGTCCAAAAACACCCTCTAAGTACTTAAGGTATGTCTACACTACAGCACCACAGCTACAGTGCTGCAGCTGTGCTGTTGTAGCGCTGAAGTGTGTAGACGCTTTCTACATTGACAGAAAGTATTTGTCCATCTGTGCAGGTAATCCATCTCTCCAAGAGTTGGTAGCTAGGTCAACGGAAGAATTCTTCTGTTGACTTAGCTACTTCTACAGTGGGGGTTTAATAATTAATTTCTTTTAATAAAGAGCAAGCCAGAATAGAATCTAGTTTGCTCTTCTGGAGTTGGAGTTGTATTGGCTTTGCAATATTATCAGGAATAAAGAGCAGTAGGTACTTACTGAAATAAGTGGATATGACCCTGAATACTCAAAGGGGGCAGATGATGATCTGTGGGATAAGATGTCACTTTTCTGAGTAGAGCTTAATTTGAAAGAAACGAGAGTTGCATTCTTTTACTTTGAGAAAATGGGTGTTTTGAGCTAACATTTTATTCCATTTCCTGTGCATAGAATTTAAAAGCAAAATAATCTGCAACCCACCCACACACCACAGGAGCAGTTTCTTTGACAAATTTTCTAAAGGTATCAGTGAGTGGTGCCTCTGTATTGTTGTACAGCTATCTTGTGGCACATTTACATTGTGAATGAAAGATTTAGTAGCACTAATGGTTCTGAATTGTGTAATGAAATTGTGTGTTTGCTGGAGGTCACTTATTTCCAATATCTCTTTTTTTGTCTTAAAGGTTTGTTATTGAGCTCTGTGAACCAATTCAAGTAAAGCAGCTTGACATTGCGAATCATGAATTATTTTCATCTACTCCTAAAGACTTCCTGGTGTCCATTAGCGACAGGTATGTCATATAATCAGAATTTTGAATTTGTGATCATTTGCGTTCAGAAAGCTTAACATAAAGCAGGAATAATACTCAACAATTGCAATGATTTCATAACGAATAGAATTTGAATACCAAATACTACTGTGTGGCTCATTCCTTTGCTTAATGTAAATGTTGTGAAATAACATGGAAGGTTAACTATGCATGTGTATTAGGTATTTTTCAAAATAGGTAGGTATATCAGCCATTTAGCTTTCCCCCAAAAAGCAAAATAATTTAATCTACACTATTACCTTGATGTCCTGTGGTACTTTCTAGATCAGTCTTTGATTTGCCTCCTTAAAAATGGCAGGGGAAAGTATCATTGATCTCTTTTAATTTTATTTCCTCCCTAGATGAGGTTTGTATCCCAGAAGTAATTTTTTACCATAGAAGTAAAAAACACTAAAATGTTAAAGAACTGACTTGCAAATCAGGTATCTAATATATTGGCATTTATTGTATCTTTAATTTGTAGTTAAATTTTTAACTCCTTGATTGATTGTCATCCTTAATTGTAGAAAGCAAGTAACATATTTTAAGAGATCCCACATCTTTGCCTTCCAGTGGTATAGAACCAGTTGCCCACATCCTAAACTCCCAACCAATGTTATCATTAGAGTAAAATATTAACTCTTTAGTAGATCCCATATCCCTTTTTTTAATTTTTAGATTGTGTGTGTGTGTAATATAAACACATACACAGGGCAGAAAGCCGAAGTCCCACTGCATGGGGATGAAGCCTGGGTCCCTGAGCCCTGCCAACCGGTGTTGAAGCTCAAGCCTGAGCAATGTAGTTTCATGGGGGCCCCTGTGGCATGGGACCCCAGGCAATTGCCCTACTTTCTACCCCCTAACGCCACCCTGGCTTTTATATGTAGAAAACCAGTTATTGCGGCATAAGTGGGCTGTGGAGTTTTTATAGCATATTGCCAAGGGGGGGACCTCAGAAAGAAAAAGGTTGAGAACCCCTGGCATAGGGGATCTATTGATCACTCCTTCCCAGTAACTTGTGAAGGACTTTATCTTCTCTTGAGCTTTGGCTCAAAAACTATGGGTGCATGGTCATGTTTCAAAATTCCAAACTTTGTATCTGTCATGTTCTCTCTCTCCCCTAACCTCCAGCTACTTAAATGAGGGCAACACTTATAGCTATATATGCATCTAAAGCAGTCTGTAGTAAAAAGCAGACGCACACACTTTATTGCAATACTAATGTAGGTATTAACATGTTTGTAAACTATATATTCAGTTAACTTGTTCTTAAGTTAGCAAGTCCTTAGCCAAAATCATCCCCGAGCATGAAAAAAACTTTGCTATAGACTGTAAGTATTTTGAAATGCTTGGAATCTCAGTAATTTAGTAACTGAACTGGGATTAATTCTGCCATCATTGAGTATGATACTTTAACAGCAGTGTTTTATCTAATGGTTTAGAGTCTCTTTTGCTAAAAGAACAATGATGTTCTGTTGAATTTGGGACTGGCAAACTTCTTTATTTTGCAACATCCAGACCATTTTTCCTTTTCAAAGCAAATACTTCAATATATTTTGTTTGGATTTAAAAATCAGTTCCCAGCAACACAGGCCTTATGCATAATCCTTTAATAATTGTATCGACATTATGGAAGCAGGATTGATTTCAGTTTAGAGTTTCCTAGAATGGCTAAACAAGGAATATTGAAGTTATGAAAAAAGAATTGGGAAAAATATTATTAAAATGAAATACTAATTTTTTTAAAAGAATATTAATTATTCAAAGAATATTAAAATTATGAAAAAAATCTTGATTCTCTGCTTTTTTTAAAAAGTCAACGTTTTGATATTTTCCAGGTACCCAACAAATAAATGGATTAAATTAGGTACTTTTCATGCTAGAGATGAGAGAATTGTCCAAAGCTTTCCTTTGGATGAACAGATGTATGCAAAATACGTTAAGGTAATATTTTTAATGTGCACTGAATGCAACCATTCTCACTTTTAATGTACAAATTTTTTTTGAAGGATGACTTCCGCATGAGTCACCAATACAATGTTACTTGAGTCTGTTCAAACCTGGGTTGAAAAGTCCTTGCTCAGTTAGCAATCTGAATTTTTGTTTACTGACATACCATGATTAATTCAAATACAAGAGGGTATTAAGGAGAGGTTGATAACTTTAGCATCAATTTTCTCAACTGCAGCTGATTTTGTAACTTTGTTTGGTTTTGGCTGCCAATGTTTTACTTTGCTTTTTAGGTTTAATGAAGCAAAATGTTCTCAGAACTTTTATTTTCTTTATAAGTACAATACATACCAATATACATGTGGTGCATATTTCCACAGGTTCATATTACCTGCGGTAGTTTATTCTGTATCGCTACGGTTTAACCTATACTCTAGCAATTATACACTTCCTCAGTAGTTTTTACTTTATACAGGTCTGTCTCATCTTACGCGGGGGTTCCGTTCCGTGGTTAGCGCGTAAAGCAAAAACCGCGTATAGCCAAAATCCCATTGAGTTCAATGGTGGGCGAAATCGCCCGCACTACAGGTATAGTATTAATATAGTTTTTCTCTTTTTTTGTTTTTTGTTTTTGCCGACCGCGTAAAGTTGAAATCGCGCATGTTAAATGCGCGTAAGATGCGACAGACCTGTATTGCTACACAACTTCAAACAAAAATAATGATGCATTAAAATCTGAAATTTTAGAACTTCAGTTTTGATATCTAGTATAGTATTCATAGTGGAGTTCTTGAGCTGTAACTGTCACATACGCTAATTCCTTTGAATTATTTAGGCTTACTGTTGCCGGAGCCACAATTTAATAATTGATAAATTCACAGAGGCTTGTTTTGCATTGAGAATACTTTATTTAAGATTTCAGGAAAACATGTGAAATCTAGCCTATTTAGAAATCCTCTCATAGTTAATGAAGAGAGTGCATTGGTACAATTGCAAGTTGCTTTTGTTCTGAAAAGGATACTATTGCTTCCAAATACTTGCTTTTTGATTTTGTTTAGAACAATTTTTTTTCTCTAGTTAACATCTCATCTGAGCATCCAAAACAACATCATTTGATGCATTGGCATGCTTAATGTTTGTTTTCACTAATAAAAGTGAGCATGTAACAATGTCATAAGTAAACATTAAATCTGAGGCCAGCTTTCTATTTTCATTTGATTTTTTTTTTTTTTTTTTTATTCCCTAACTTCAATTCAAATATACTTGTACTGCAGTGGTTTCTGGAGTAACACAACTTGAATGGAAACAGTGTGGATTTTGATTTGCTAATCTCCCCCGTCCCTCTTTAAAAAAAAATAATTTGAAGCATACTAGCCTTCATTTAGCATTCTCTCTCTCTCTCTCTCTCCTTTGAACCTGTGTTTAGATTATAGTTCGTTAAAGTTGTAGTGTATCTTTTTAATGTTATCATGGTAATTTATTTTATACCCTTTTTTAAATTCTATCACAATACTATTAAATTTTTTACAAAAATTAAACTTTGGCACCCTCCAAGAAAACACAATCACTTGAAATCGCTGAATTTCTGTAAAAATTGCTTAATTTTATAGTATAAGCTAATCTATTTTCCTAATGATGTGGGAGTGATTTAACTTGTAATCTATGATAATAACGATCCAAATCTTTTACTCTTCAACTGTTAATTGCATAATTACACCCCCAAAAAATCTTGCATGAGTCTGTAAAATGACAAGATAAAGACTTTTTGCTCTGCCTGCTGGCTGAATTAATAGTCTAATCAGTATAGCCAGAACTGTGACTTTATCTGTTAGTAAAGTACCAAAAGTGTGCTAGATGCTATAGAATTTTAAAAATCTCTTGTATGTAATGTTCTGCCTTAAATATTATGGTACAAAAACCATGAAATCTTAAAAGTACTAATTGTTCTTGGAGTGTATTGGCTTTTATAATATCGAATATAGTTTGCTAGCATGTTACAAATCTAGTAGTGGCTAAAACTTTCCCATTGGATCTTCAGCTGTTCTATCACCTATCTTCCCCTAGAAATATTTCTGTAAAACAGAACATGTTATGTTGAAATTAGAACAGTTACAGTATGTATAAAGTACATACTGAATGTTTCTTCTAAAAGTTCTCATCTTTCAGTAGGCTGTTTAATGCTTCCCCCCCCACCCCAATTTAATAATCATCACATTTATTTAGCTTAATTCATTTCAATATTCTGTGTCTGGCATATCAAATTTTTTATCATTCTATAACAGAAAATTTGGAATCTCGCTATATCTTTCGATTAATAGAAACAAAGATTTCTGTGCATGTTGTTCCTTTCTGTCTGCAAATTGAGGGCTAAAATAAATCTAGGTTTACCTAAAGCAAACTATGTAGTATTGCAGCTTTATCCTTCGCATCTTATTTCTTTGTGCATTTTATAGTACTTATTTAAAAAAAAAAATTCTAGTTGCCTGTGGCATGGCCTTTGTACTGACATCTTTTTTTTTCTTTTCCTTTCTCTTGCTTCAGATGTTCATCAAGTACATAAAGGTTAGCAACCTCCTTTCTGAACGTTGAATGCATAGGGCTTGGGTATAATCTGTGGCTCGGCATGTTAATGCATGGCAAGAATAAAGCTTTCCAAGAACCTTTCTGTAATGAGCAATCTGCACATCACTTACATAAATCTAACTTGCAGATTGAAAACTGTATGGATATGTTGAATGGAGGTTTAACTTGATGGTTCTTTGCTGTTCTTCCATTTTGAATACTTCTTCTTCTTTAGGTGGAGTTGGTATCACATTTTGGATCAGAACACTTTTGTCCTCTAAGCCTTATAAGGTAATATAGAATGAAACACTTCAGCTGAAAGTTTTCTTTAGCTACTTTTGCATCACTGCAATAATGTTTTCTAGTGACAACTGGAAAACGCAAGTTTGAGCTTTCAGTAGCTTTATTCTTTTTGAAATTCATTAGTGGAGTGTTTGCTTATAAGATCAACAGGTTACATAGATTAGCTGCGGCATAGTGATGCTGCCAAGTCACTGAAAGCTCTTTTATTTAAAAAAGGTAGCCTTATGGACTAATTCAAGTGTTCCATATTAAGTAGCAGCATGATAGAAGGCAGAGATGTTTGTAGAAGTGAACAAAGGCATTCAAGGCTGACCTAATTGGCAGAACAAAGGATGGGGTGTGCAATACAATAAAACAAGTGAGTGGATAAGCAAGAAGGGGAAGGACTATGAAAGGCCTTAGGAAACATAGGTCTGATCTAGTCTGGCAGTTACTGAGCTCCATCTAGTCCAGTATCATACTGTCTTTGACAGTGGCCAGTATTAGGGGCTAGATTCATAAAAGGGCTTAAATGCCTAATGGACACCGTGGGTACCTAAATCCCAGAATCAGGCCCTACTAAGATTTGCAAACCCCCGATTCAGCTGCCCCTGTACCTTGTAGGCACCTAAAATTACTTGGTGCCTAAATTTTTGCATTAAAAGTTCCCTAGAAGCCTATGTTTATGCCTCTGATCATTTGCTCTACAGTCCTACACCAGGCGTACAGACGTCTTAATCCCTAAAACAATACATGGACCAAGGAAAGATAGGTGTTCCTCCACTTCACTCACCTGCAGGGCCCAATCTGTTAAGCATGCTCAGTCCTTGCCTACCAGCTCGGGCCATGTAGGTGAGCTTACACAAAACCGCTGAAGCGGCGAGGAGGCGGACCTCCTCAAACTTTTAGTCCAGTAGTTACGGTACTCATTTGGGATGTGGGAGAGTCCCCCTTCTGTCTAAGGGGAGGAAGGGATTTGAACTGGGATCTACCACCACTCAGGTGCATGTCCTAATCACTGGGCTGTGGGTTATTCTGATATGGGGCTCCCTCAATGTCTCCTGTTGAAGCTGTTCCACTATGGATAAATAATTTTAAAAAGTCATTTGAGCAGGGGGACTGGATTTTGGGTCTTCCACTTCCCAGGTGAGTGTTCTAACCACCAGTCTATAGAGTCAGTCCCATGTTTGCAGGTTCTCTCTTGCCCAATGAATTTTTCTTTGTGAATCTAGCCCTAGATAACTCAAAGGTACAAGCAACAGCCCCTCACACCCCCTTAAAGTCTCCTAATCCTTAGGATTTTCATTTTCCCAATCTTTGAACCTGGGACCTTTGGCACTGTAAGCCAGAACCATACACCATGGCCTTTGAGTTAGCTTTGAACATGAGGACAAGAAACTAGAAGATAGTGTAGGAAAACAGGGAGCCAGTGGAGGGATTCAAAGATCAAATGACGTGGTCACTGTTGAGCAAAGAATGTGGTCTTAGAATCTGCATTTTGAATGGAAGTGGGGAAGAGGATGGTACTGTGTGCATCAGGGAGGCCAGAGGAGGAGCATGCAGTAATCAAGACTAAGGATAAGGGTCTGAATGAAAGTTCCAGTTGTATAGATGTGGAAAAGGTATTATTTTTTGGAAATGTTTTGGAGGAGTTAGCGACAGGATTTGGTTCTAAATGCAACACTTGCAGAGTGCTAACAAATTATTTTTTGGAAGTGAGTTTGGTCAGCTTATGGAAGGTGTCGGTTTGCTGACTGGCTAACCAAGGACAAGCATTGCTTACTTAATACATATTTATGGCAGTAAGTACAGCAATTAGATTTTTGCACTCAGTTTTAATTAAATGTTTATAGGGTGTTTGGCACTAGTATGGTTGAAGAATATGAAGAAATTGCTGACTCCCAATACCAATCAGAACGACAAGAGCTATTTGATGAAGACTATGGTAAGCAAACAGAAGTAACTGATGCTTGTTAGTCATCAAACATACCTTCTGTACTTGGTGATAGCTAGCATTTTTCTCCTGCCTGTGCTGAATGTTTTATTCTGAAGTTAAGGATAAAGATAAACTAAAATAATCCTTAAAGTGGTAAAATCTGCCGGAAAATTAGGAATGTGCTAAAGGTTATAAGCCTATTACAGGAGTGGGTGGGTGAGGTACTGTGGCTTGTGATGATACGATGGTTCCTTCTGGCCTTAGTCTATGAATCTGAGTAATGTGCCCATTTTCAAGGCCTGTTCGAACATCCCATTAGGCCTTATACAACCTACTGTTCTTCATTATAAACCTCTGCAGATTGTTCACTTCTGGGCACTACTGTCTGAGTTGGTGAGAATTACAGTAGGCTGGCTGAGCATATATACACCTCCAGCCATCCTTCCCAGACATGTCACCTTGGATGTTGTGAGCATGCTTCTCTCTTTGTGAATCCTCAAGCCATCCTTCATCCACACATAGATTCACATGGTGACAGACATGCTCTCACTTCAGGTGGTTACTGACCCACTCTGAGCTGGCAACCATACTTGTGATTACCTCTGCTTCAGATGCAAGCCCTGACTTCTTGCAGGACAGAGGGGAACAAAAGTGAGCTTAGTTTTGAAAGGAGGCAAGACACAGGAACGTAAATGAGAAAGATAGAACGGTGAGGGAAGGAAGACACTGTCTTGCACATACAGTGAAGGAAATTAGACAAAGAAAATAACAAGAATGTATTTGGAGTAAACATTGACTGCTTTCACTCAGCCTTGTGCTGAAGCATCCCATTTTCATTCTTAAAGGGAAGAGAAGTGTGGAAGAGGTTTTGCTTGGCTGAGGAAGATAGAAATGTGTGGGCATGCTCTTTCTCTTCCTACATCCCAGCTTCCAAAACATTCAGGGAGTAGCTCCGGCTTCTTCACTCCCCTCCCCAATCAGAAATGTTTGTTTTTCACTTTGAAAATCTAGTCATCTTACTTCATAGGAGTTACCTGCAAGAGCTTCCTTCTGAACCTGCAGAACTGCCTTAAAAAGCACTATCTGTAGTTTATATAAAGGGACTGCACCCCTCAACTGTCTCAGTTCCTTCTTGGTCGCTGCAGAGAGATAATGGAACTCATCCTGTCGTGTCTTCAGGCTTAGACATTTCCTTAGCCTAGCTTAAGATTTATTGTAAATCGCTAATAGCTTGCTCCCATGTCCCCGGAGTCCACCGTCCCTTACCAGGACTCTCAGGCCCTGAGGCTTGCAGAGACTTCAAGAGGTGTTTCTCTTGCCTTGCAGTCAGCCCTGAAAGGGATGCCCATGTTTTGTGCTTCCCGTGTCTTGTTGAAACCCATTTTTTAACCAGATTTGTGGTTTGCTGTGCCTTTATTTCCTGGGTTAAGGGGGGGGGGTAGAGAAGAGATCTGAGGTTCTAGACTCCTCTGGCTTCAGTGCCTACAACCTGATACTCCAGTGAGCTCATTGACAATATCAGTGTCCTTTTAACCCCGATTTACAGTAACTAGGACAAACTAAAATTGAAGTTTATTTTTACTTTGTCAGACTCTTTGCATATAATGCAAACCCTAGACCTTGAGGTGTATTTTCACTGTTCATAAGGCATGTAACTTTCTATTGTTGCAACAATATTTTCTTTCATTTTAAACAGATTATCCATTGGATTACAATACAGGGGAAGAAAAATCTTCAAAAAATCTCCTTGGCTCTGCTACTAGTGAGTATAATTGCATGTTTCTCAGAACACTTTCATAATGCTGTCTAGTAATAAAATGGTTTATTTTATGTGAAAGTGAGATTCCACTTTATTGTGACACATTTATTTCATTGAATAATGGGAAAAATCATGCTTTTGTAATAATTCAGATTTAGGGCAAAATTTTTCAAACTCCTAAATGCCTTAGGAGCAGACTGAGACGAAGTGCCTAAGTCTCTTTTTTGTAAATAAGACTTAAACTCCTAAAATACTTAAAGCATTTTTGAAAATTTTACTCAGTCCTTTTCTCTTAGCATCAGAGCAATAAGCATGTTAACTTAAATAAATGAAAAGTTGAATGTGACTCTTTTTTTAAAGTCTTAATTGTTTTGTTAACAGTGCAGTAGAACCTTGATTATTAAAGAGGATAGAGTTGCCTGAGCACCTGGCTAAAGGGAAAGGATAGAGAACCACTATATGTCTCTGAGCCAAAGTCTTTATGTGCATAGCATAGCTTCTTTATCTGTTCTTAAACCAGTCTGCTTTTGAGGGAGCTGATGGCTCAGGCACTTCTCACATTCTTCCTCTTTAACCAGTTTCATTTAATCTGGGTGACTGTGCCTAATCTTCTGAAAATAAGTGAGATTTAGTGAACTAAGGTGACTAGTCATGGCACTACTTCAGTTTTAATGGGAGTCCTCAACTTCAACTGCATTATTTTAAGATAATAGCACCAGTCATCCTACGCTTCTAGAATAATTGTTGCCTCATTGAGCTTGTTCCTGTCTATCAAGGTTAGTGATCTAGCTTCTGAATGCACAATGAATATTACTTCTGCATAGTGCTCAAACAGGTTAGTAGTCTTGTATCTGCATGGGCAAGCATTTTTTTTAATCCACACTGTACAAGTTTGTAATGCTTGCTTTCAGTTTTTCCTAGAATGTAGCTGTGGCTTAAGTATGAAAAGGTCATGGCCAGGAATGTTGCACAATATCTTAGTGGGAAGGAATAAATTCCCAAACAAACAGCAGTCTATTAATAAATGTTAAAGTGCCAAATAATGTTGGGCTTTCAACTCAAGAAGCAGCATGTTAGTTTTCCTGATGCTGCCCCGTTTATCCTTTTACCAGTCGTTAGTCTTGAGCTTCCCATACCCAGAATAGTGTTGATAAAGTACTTTAAAATATAATGCTATATATGCAAATACAGGTGTATGTAACTTAATAAGACTACAACTTCGATGGTGTGAGAAGTGCAGTGACTTTCTTTAATGGATGTCAAATATGTTTTTAGAGTGTGTTTAGTATGCCAAAGTCTGTTTAGAAACCAGTGACTATATAGCCATTAAGTACTCAGTAACTCTTACTTAGTCTTGGCTAGTAGTCTGTTTTTGAGACTGCCATTTGACCAGTACTCTGGGATAATCTGCATTCCTTTTTTTGAAAACCTTTGTGAGGCTTGCGCTTGGGCAAATGTAAGAGTGACAAAAGCGGCCTCCATTTAGTCAGTCTAGTACAATGCCATCTCTAATCTCAAGTAGTGAGGCTAATATCTATGTAACAGTAGAACCCCTAGTTATATGAAGGGTAAGGAGGGAAGCATCAGAAATCTGATTAGGGATTTGAATGATCATAAGAGCTGTCTTGCAGTCTCTCTGGCCATATTGACCAGGGCAGGTAGCTCTTGTGCCCTCACTCCTTCTCTTCTCATCATCTGGAAGATTCACAGAGCAACTTCAGTTGTCTCTCTTTCCTCTGTTTTACATGCCGCAAGGAATCTGGTTCAGATTTCAGATCTGAGCTGACCTATGTTGGTTATGATCTCTATAAGGCATTTAGCAACTACAGTGGTAAGCATGGAATAAAAACCTTAATGAACAGATAAAATTCATGGTGTTCAGGAGTGTAGATCTCTTGAGCTTTTTAGACTGCAAAAGCACTAGTCTAATCAATCTTACCAAAACCCAAATACTTTTCAGTAATTCTGGTTCTTTAAAGATATCGCTTGATAGGATGGGTAGGCAATCAGAGTAAAAAATGAAAATGGGGTTTTTTTGGTTCTAGCCTACTTGGGCCATTTATTTATGCTTTCACCTCAGGGAACTCTTTCCTTCTATCTCATTGAGGTGAAAATGTTCTAGAGGACATAGAGGCACTGACAGTTGAGCTTAATCTACCATTGACTCAGAGGACTAAATTTTTTTGAGTGCTAGAGGGATTTCCACCTGGAAGCACAAGATTCAAGAGTAGAAAACCAATTCAATACTAATAATATCACAAAAACTCTTACCTGGAATTCTGCTTCTCTGAACTTTTCTGCAGTCTGTAGTAGATCTCTTATCCATTGTGGACCTGTATTGAATCAATAGATACAAAAAGATCAATAACCTTCCACCAGCTTTGATAGTTGCTTTTATGGAAAAAGTGAAGAACAATGTTTCTCAGCTCAGATGGAAGAGGAACATTTTGCCTCAATTGTAGTAGGATCTTTACTGCCACCACCATGTTATTTAGGAAATATGTTAGCAGCATGTTTAGGAAACATTTTAATTGACTTTTCTGCCAACATATATTCTTGAAATAAAACATGTATATTTACAACTTCCTATTTTAAATATGGTTGGAAGCCAGGATAAACCTTTTAATTGAGAGCCCCACTGGTAAAGATTTGGCATAATTTTGCAAAATAACCTAGAAACCTATATTTGAAATTATGTCAAGCAGAAAACCCAACCATTTTTTTAAATGATGAGACAAATAAGGCGGGAGTAGGAGGGAATAGATGACTTGTTTGGACTGGAAAAACAAATTGATGGATCCAAAGTTAGTCTATGCAAATGAATGGGTAGATAATAGTACAAATTTCTGTGAGGATTTCTGGTCATGTCCTCTCTGATCAGTCATGTTTTTGTTCAGATGCCATTCTAAATATGGTGAATATTGCTGCTAATATACTTGGAGCAAAAACCGAAGAGATTTCTGAAGCTGAAGGTAAATGTTATTTCCTTAAATGCATAATTTGTTAATTTATTAAAAGATGCAGGATTTTAAACATGTTATAGATTCCTTGTTTCCTACCTTCATTCCTCCTAAGGACTTTGGGTGATCTGAGTGCAGAGTAGATCAAGAGTGGAATGCACACGTGCAATCACTTAGAGTGCATGTGCCCCATGCACAGTCATCGGAAACTCTTCCCTCAGTGGTATCAGTCAAGGTGGCTTGAGCACCCCTTCCATCGCATGCTGGTATAAAGGGCCCAGCTATCTCAGAGACCCCTCACTTCCTTCTTACTGCCTGTGATGGTTGTTAAAATTGCTTGGCTGCCCTAGCAAATGCTCTGGGTGCTCATTGTAAATTCATTGTACAGTAAATAATTTTCTAGATTTTTATAGTTGATCAGTCCTTTGTAGCGTGGATACGATTAGTTACCTTCAGTTCCCAGTTTTGGAGTTTCCATTTCTCAGTACTAAGGATGCCTCGGTCACCCGGGTTCAAACCCTGTATCTTTTGTGCTAGAACTTAGCCGTCCTGAATCGGCACTGAGTGCTTCGGTGTCAGTTAGGAGTGTACTTCCTATCGTGCCCAAGACCTGGCACTGCTCACACTCCCCAGTACCTAAAAAGAGGCATAAGACCACTAGACAGACCACTGAGAGAGGAAGATGGCCAGCACCAAATCTTCTAAGTATAGGGAGTAGAGTACAGCTGAAACCTAAGCACTCCTCTGCTCTGGTACGACTGAAACTGGCATCATTGACTCTGGCACCAAGGCAGGTACCATTGAGTCCAGGACCAAAAGGGCCCCTTCTGTGTCTGCAGTACCACACAATGACCTAAGACAATCTTAGTATTGATCAGGCCAGAGGTGGTTGTGGCAGCGAGAGATCTGCTGAGCCTATTGATACCATTATCCACGGCAGTGCAGGAGATAGCGCTCCTGGTACTGGCAGACGGAGGGGTGCCAGTGTCATTGGTGCATTACTTGGTACTGCAACAACCTCCTGTGCCTCAGACTTCCTACCCGTCGGTATTGTCGAAGGGGAAGCCTGCAATGTTGCCTTCTCTACATTCTTTGCCAACTCAGCACTGGTCTCAGACACCATCACGGGCAGCACCCCTCTTGGTCGGCAGAGGGTGATTCGCTGTCCTCTGAATGAGAGACTGGTTCCTACTTTTCCTAACCCTGGAACCAGTCACTCTATTCCCCACATAGGTGTTACTCTCCTGGGTTGCCTTTGAGATCCTCTGGGTGGAATGGGATTGGGCATCTGGCCAAGGAGTCACTGAGACCCACTACCAGCTCAGTGGTCCTTTCGGAACCTGTGGGGATTTTCCCCAGTTTCTATGTCCTACACAAGTTGTTCCTTCTCTGTGTACTTGGAGATGCATGGGGAGTCTACTTGCCAGGAGCTGCCTGGTCCTCAGTCTGGTATTAGGCCTAGTACCAGGAAAGGCAGAGGCAGTTCATAAGGAGCTGTAGCTTCTGTGGGTTTTGCAACTCAGGATTGCCAACCAACAATCTCTTTTGGAACATTATGATTTTAACATTTGAGTCTTCTTGTTAAAGATTAAGGACATGTTGCTGGTGAATGCTAGACAGATGTTCTCTTTAGTTGATGGGGGCAATCCATACTGAAGTTTGCTGCAGGCTGAACTAGATGTTACAGACTTGGCTGCTAAGTTTTTTGCAGTTTCCATGCGCAGGAGCTCTTGCCTGCAGTCCTTGGGGTTTCCATGTGAGGTCCGACAAACAATTCAAGACATATCCTTTGAAGGGTCCTCACTTTTTTGGAGCAGACAGACTTTAAGCTCCATCAGTGGAAAGATTCTGGAATTATTTTAAAGTTTTTGGGATTGTATGCTCCTGTCCCACCCAGGAAACTTTCTCCCGCAGCAGACCCACCATTACGCTGCTGCTCATCAGGACCTGCAAAGAGTGAAAAGTAGAGGTGTTAGACACAAGCCGCTATGTCCTTTAGCTTCTACATCAATGCTTGCTCCATCTAGACCAGGGGTGGGCAAACTTTTTGGGCCGAGGGCCACATCTGGGTGAGGAAATTGTATGCAGGGCTGAGGCAGGGGGTTGGGATGTGGAGTGTGGGAGGGGGTGCGGTGTGCAGGAAGGGGCTCAGGGCAAGGGATTGGGGCAGAGGAGGGGTGCAGGGTGTGAGGGGGTTCAGGAAAGGGGGTTGGGGTGCAGAGTGCAGGGGGGCTCAGGGCAGGGAGGGGTGCGGACTGTGGGAGGGGGCTCAGGGCAGGGGATTGGGGTGCAGGAAGGGTGTGGGGTGCGGCAGGGGGTTGGGGTGCAGGGTGCGACAGGGAGCTCAGGGCAGGGGGTTGGGGTGCAGGGTGTACGAGGGGGCTCAGGGCAGGGAGTTGGGGTGCAGGAGGGGGTGCAGGGTGTACGAGTGGGCTCAGGGCAGGGAATTGGGGTGCACAGGGGTGCAGGGTGCAGCAGAGGGCTCAGGGCAGGGGGTTGGAGTGCAGGAGGGTGCAGGGTGCAGCAGAGGGCTCAGGGCAGGGAGTTGGGGTGCAGGAGGGGTGCGAGGTGCAGGCAGGGAGCTTAGGGCAGGGAGTTGGGGGCAGGGTGCAGGAGGGGTTCGGGCTCTGGCCCGGTGCTGCTTACCTAAAGCGGCTCTGGAGTGGCAGCGGTGCGCACCAGGGCCAAGGCAGGCTCTCTGCACGCCTGCCCTGTCCCCAGCCCCGTGCCGCTCCTGGAAGCGCTGTGGCCCCTGGGTGCGGGAAGGCGGAGGTCTCCGTGTGTGGTGCCGTTGCCATGCCTCCAGGTATCTCCCCTGAAGCTCCCATTGGCAGCAGTTCCCAGTTCCTGGCCAATGGGAGCTGCGGGGGGAGGGGGGAAAGGGGGGGCAGTGCCTGGAGGCAAGGGCAACGCATGGAGCCCTCTGCCCTCCCACCCGGGGGCCGCTTCTGAGAGCAGCGCAGGGGCCAATCCCGCAGGCTGAATCCAAAGCCCTGAGGGACCGGATCCGGCCTGCGGGCCGTAGTTTGCCCACCCCTGATCTAGACACCCAGGGGTTGCTAAACAGGCATTTTCATGGGTGGCTCAAGGATGCCATACCAGTTTACAACTTCTTAGTGCTTGGTCCCTGCCTACTTCAGACCAATGGGTCTTAAGTTCTGTGCAATTTGTTTCTACCCCTCCCTCCCCCTCTCTCTTCAGGGACCACTCTCTCAAGGGTTTCCTCATCCAGTAGGTTGTCTCCTTTGGGTGGGAGCCACAGAGGAGGCGCTGTAGTGTCTCAGGGGGAAGGGGTTCTATTCCTGTTTGTTTCTAATCCTGAAAGCCAAGGGAGGTCTAATTTTAGACCTGCACCCCAACTCAACAGATATCTCAAAAAGCTACAGCTTTATATGGCCACCCTGGCTTCCGTTATTCCCGCCCTGGATCCTGCTATGCAGCCCTTGACTTAAGAAGCCTACTCTCATGTGGCAATTTATTGAGATCACAGAAAATATCTGATTCATAATGAAGCACTCTCGTTACCAGTTCACCATGTGGGTACCGCTGAGGGAAAATTTTCGAATGACTCTGTACAGCGTGTACACACACCAAGAGTGGGATGAACATGTGCAACACATTTTGAACAACAGTTACTGTGTTTTCTCTCCTTTTCTGTGATTTCTTTCCCCATAGTGCTGCCACCATAAACACACCCTCCTGACTAGGGAAAAGATGCTACTGTGATTTCTGTGGCTATTCTTGATAGATTAAATAGCATGGGGTTCTGCATACCAGTCCAGATAACTTTGTTCTTTGTGTCAAAATCTGCCTGATGTGGTCTTTAGCCTGTAGCTTTCCACAACCTTAGTTATAGAGACTAAAAAATCTTTCTTCTCCCCTCCTTCTCCATAGAAATACTTCAGCACATCTTTCATATGCAAAACCACATCAACAGGTGTCCAGTTCATCTAAATGTAAACATAGAGAATCGGTATCTTGTTTATTTAGTGTAGTTTGTTTGTTGATGCTACTAAACAAATGTTTATAGGGAAAATAAATATGCCTGGTTAACGAGAATTCAGTTTTTTGAGCATACTGTATTAATGTTTCCTGTTTTCTCACCTATTTTTATGCTTCCTTCCTGTTGACTTTTGTGGTATTCATGCAGCTCTCAGGAAGCTGCTTATACTAATTTGATTGTGGTTCCATATACTTTAATAGGAAATAACAGTATGTCTGAAAATACCACTGTTGCTGCTGCCACTGCCACTTCAACAGATGCACCAAAACTGCCTGAACCAACCCTTCTTCCTTCACCAGAGTAAGTGATTTTGTGTGTTAAATTTAGTTCTAATGAGGTAGAGCTTGGCCATGACTAGAAATCTTCTGCATCAGACTGCTAGACTTAGGCCCTTGTTTATACTAGAAAACCCTAATGTAGACACACTTGCATTGGTTGAAACCTTGCCTATACAGGTACTTGGGCTTGACTTTAACATACTTTGAGGTTCAGGTCTCTCATATTTGTTGATAGAGTTTTCAGAATGTAGTTACTGTGTATTGCAATAGTCTTTACTGCATGAAAGTATATGTGTAAAGTGATTTTTCCAGGAAAAGCTAAATTCTTGCTTGACTCAATGAAACCATTGTACTGTACTTTTTTTTTTTTAAAAACAGGAAGTCAAAGGTTCTGGGTCAAACTGTTTTTTGTGACCCCTGAAACAGTTGAACAAAACTATAGGCTGTAATTAGATTGTTTTACAAACAATGGACAATATTCTTAGGAAATATAAAATTTCTAAAAATTCAGCCCAGAGAGTAGACAATACATTAGACTAATTCACTTTCTTTTTTTCTGGGCCCTGGGTTCATATCTTAGCTTATCACAAGTGAATTGTACTCCATACATCTGTGTCATGCTGGCTGTTGTTGCAAAGAAACTTGTATATTTTGGAGGCTAGGAAGGCCATTGTTGAGGGGTTTTAGTTTTGAATATTAAGGAATTTAATACTTGCTTGGCATATTGACACTTCAGATCAGACTCCAGACAACTTATTCTTTCTCCATTAATTACAACAATTTGGAATTGAGGTCTGCTTTGGAACCAAGCCTGGAATTCTTCTCCTCCTCTTTCTTCCCAGCCCTTAGTCAAGTTTCTCTGGATCTGATTTCTGCTCTGCCTTATTGTTGCAGGCTACCGCTACTCAGTCCCATGTAGAACTGGCTCTAATAGGGAGGACGAGGTTCTGTGCAATTGATACTGTTCTATGGGTCTCCGGTTTGAGGAACCAACCTAGAAAATATATATCCTGATACACGAAAATAAATTTAGTGATCTCCAAATTGACATTTGTCCATGGTACAAAGCCACTATGTGATTTGGCACAGTTTTCAATTTTTGTTCAAGAGAAGCCTATGTCTGGAATAGTCAGGGATATTAAACCAAGTAGGATTGAGATGTATTGCAGAGATAAATAAGTGATTTATTTAATTGTAATGGCTCCTGCTTATACTATTTCTGACATTTATTAACTGATTAGTCTTTCCTGAGCATCACTTTCATGCATTCATTTTTTTACAACTACCACCATATCCTACAAAGCTATATCCTGTGCTTATTTTAACTTCTGTTTGTAGGCTTGTAACTACAGAGATACCACAAGTAGATAAGGAACAATTAATCAAGGAACAATTAGTCCTGGAATTAACAAAGGAGAGCCCCATTGTTCAGCTAGTTCAAGAGTATGAAGAGGAGGCAAGTCAGTCAACGGTGACCCTGCTGCCTAGTGATGAACAAGAGGAAGAAACATCAACATGGTTTGAATCTGAGACAGAAATCTATTGCTGTGAGCTGGTGACAGTTTGTTGTATTTCTAGCTTTTCAGAATATCTCTATAAGTGGTGTTCAGCTGCAGAAGCTGTTCATCGGCAACGTAGCAAAACTTCTGAGAGCAAGCCAGGGGATTACTCTGTTACCATTCAGCATTCACAGCCAGTTCCAACAGAATCTTTACATGTTTCAATAGACGAGCCTCTGCCTGAGAAACTAGACAGTGAAATTACAGGGAGAGTACCTGGATCTACTATTGCAAGTGACTTAAGCAGTGTACTCCATGAGGATATCACTAACCAGACTATAGATTCTATTGAATTGGAACCCAGTCATCCTCAGACTGTCTCTCAATCTCTCCCCTTAGAAGTGACTTCTGAAATTAAGCCATTATCTACAATGGAGGTCTCCTTGGAGCCTACAAAACATGAGGCAGCACAGTTAACTTCCCACATAATTCCCCAAGAGGATACTGTTGAGATACATACTGAAGCAGAAAAGAGAGCTGAGAGTTCTGTTTCTGAGAAACATTCTGTGGTCTCTGAAACAAACATTGTCAGTGAATTCAAGGAGATCAGCACAAGAGAGACAGATTCTGTCCAAATCCTCTCAAAACCTACAGAGACTGTACCACAGCCTGAATACACAATGGCTACAGTAGGCAATGATGTTGGGGAAGCAAAAGTGAGTGCTTCAGAAATGCAGAAGCAAGTACTGTCTCCTGTGGTAGAATCTTCTGCATCAACAGAAATAAAATATGATGAGCAAACAACTGAAGAAGCTTTTCTAGCTATTCCTGTTTCTGGTGGACAGCAGAGAATGGCTACAGACTTCTATGCTGAATTGCAGAATTCCACAGATCTAGGTTATACTAATGGAAATCTTGTTCATGGATCTAATCAAAAGGAGTCTGTATTTATGAGACTTAATAATCGTATTAAAGCCCTGGAAGTAAACATGTCTCTCAGCAGCCGCTATTTAGAAGAACTTAGTCAAAGGTAAGACTCCTAATAAATTATGAAAATCTACCTTTATCATGTCTAAAATGTGTTTAACACGACTCAGCCGATGATTAGAAAAATCTGTAAGCAACATGCTAACATGTATTTGAGTAACTGATCAGCAATGTAAAGTCTTTTTTCAGACAATTGAGAAATAACTGACCATTGATAGAAGCTGCCAAAAGTTTAGATTTCTGTATCTGAATTTTTCCCTATGTATTTCAAGCTGCCACTGAATTTTATATTCTACTGCAGAATATACAGTGTTCCGTTTTTAAGGAGTTTATGTATTGCCTGGGGATGTGCACTAATCCTTCTGCAAGCCTTCCAGAGTAGGATCTGATCCTGCTGCCTCTTCAGTCAGTTGCAGAAGCATCCAGGCCTATAGTAATTTCCCTTACTAAGTGCGACAGTTTGGTGGCTTGTAATTCCTTTTTGGTTAATACAATAATGTTAAACTCCTGTGTTTGTGTTTTAAAAAGAGATGGATAGGGAGGGGAACACAACCTGCAGATTTTAATGAAGTTAGTATAACTATTCAATAGTAGTTATTTTTGATGCATGTATGGGAGTAAAGGTTGGTTAATCTTCTTGTCAGACACTAATTACAGAATCCTTTCTTAGTAAAGTTATAAATGTTTGCATTTCTCCTTTTTGCTGCTGCCTCAACACTGAAAGCTTTTTGCAGTGCATTCACCCTAATGTATGAAGGGTGAATGCACTGGGGAGCAGGCTCAGTGGTTTGAGCATTGGGCTGCTAAACCCAGGGTTGTGAGTTCAATCCTTGAGGGGGCCACTTCGGGATCTGGGGCAAAATCAGTACTTGGTCCTGCTAGTGAAGGCAGGAGGCTGGACTCAATGACCTTTCAGGGTCCCTTCCAGTTCTATGAGATAGGTATATCTCCATATATTATATTTATTATATTATAATATAATGTAGCTCCCATAACCATGCTTACTGACCCCAATCTTCTGCTTAGTGCTGCTTCCTGTGAGTCACTATTAATCAGCACCGACAGTAAGTAGCAGAAGCACCTTCCCACTCCAAACATTTCTGGCATACAGCCCATTGCTAACTCTTTTTTAATATTAAAATAGGCTTTAATTTGGCTCCTAAAAAAAGTGTTACCTGAGAATTAAACGAATAAAGACAGGAAAACAGCAAAGTTGTTCCAGACGGTGGGAAATGTCAAAGGAGAGGGGTTTTCTCCCTAAAACTGGTGAGAGGGCAGAGAGGAAGTTAGTACTAGATGAATGGAGGAAGGTGCTGTGGTGACAGTCTGTGAAATTGTAGTCTTTAATATGGAACCCAATGCATTTTATAGGTACCGAAAGCAAATGGAAGAAATGCAGAAGGCTTTCAATAAGACTATAGTAAAGCTTCAGAACACTTCAAGAATAGCAGAAGAGCAGGTACGAATTGCTTCTTTTTAGGAGTAGGTGACAGTATATCTTAACCAAGAGATTCTCAAGAATGTGTAAAAGCTTACAAGGACAATGTCAGTATTTTTAAACTTTTTGTTTAGTGACTGTATTGAGCACAAATCTTAAGAAATAGTCATGTTTTGTTACTCTAAAACAGTTATGTAAAAGCTGCATATTTGATATTTTTCTATTTAATGTCCTCCCATTTTTCATTTTGTAATTATTGTTCTGTAATTAAACTTTAGGTGATTTTCTTTTTCTGTAAATTAGTGGGAAGCTCAGACTCTTTCCTTTCCATCTTAATTTCTTAAATTTATTTTTCGAGAAAAATAAATAATTGGTATAAGTAATCTGAAGGCGATGGATACCATTTTCCAGAAGGGCCTCCAAGTCCCATTTTCAAAAATTATTTAAGCACTTCTGTTTCTAAATCACATAAGAATTTTTGAAAATTTTACCTTGTTTATACAGATCCATACCTGATTACTTGCTTCTTTTGGACTCTTATTTTCAGTCCTTATAAATGTAGGTCACCCTGCTTTGAAAAGGAATGAATTGACAGATGCTGTGAGAGGTGTTTGAGGGGCTGGGAACCCCCTGTAGATAGTCCTGGTTGCGTAAGAGTTTCCATTCCAACTCCCTGCTTTCAGTAATTTAAAGCTTCTGAAATGTAGTTCAGCTGAAATCTTCCAGGCTAGGTCTTGGTCCAAAAGTGACATTTCTTTTGAGAAAGTTTAAGCAACTTTTTGCTTGTTTTAAGCAACTGTTTGCTACACTAGTGCCTTCAGAAAGCACAATACACAAGGAAGGTGGATGAAAAAAAGTATACTGGGAAGTCCTATATATCAGCCACATTAGATAAGGCTTTGCCTCAGACTTGTATTTTTGTAATTTTTTTTTTTTTTTTTTTTTTTTTTACATATGCTGTACCTTCCTTAATGTATTTAGAGGGTGAAAATTGAAACTGCTTGAGCATGCTTTAAATTGATTCAGTAGTCTCCCTACCCCAAATGTACTAAAGTAGTTTGCAGAGCAATTGGCAATGCAAGGTAATAGAAGCAATTAGACTTCAAACACAAGGTTTTTTTTAAACATCCTATTTCCACTAGGTCCTTAAGCATTTTAAGCATCATCTTGTCAAAATGTAGTTCTTGACAAGTGACTTACCATAGCAATATAAATATCCTATCCCTGATAACTGTTGAAATTCAGGGGGAAAATTAAGAGTTCTAAACAACGTATCACAAGTATTATTGCATTCAGACTTTCACTGGAAGTCTTTTAACTACTGCTATTTGAACACATGTTAAATCCCATTTAATGAACTTATCATAAATAAGATACATTGGTTTCATTTTTGTTATGCACTTTACAGAAGGGAATAGTTAGAAAGCATCATAGTGGGATGTATAGTATAGTATTACAAAAGATTATTGGATGCAGTTAGAACTCTTAGAACTGCTGAAGATTTTCAATAAAGCTTTTCATGCAGAAATCTGACACAGCTAAAATGTTGCTTTTACTCTGTTTCAAGTGCTGTGTAGAGAATAGCTTTATGCATTAGAGAATAAGATCTCCTAACTACTGTAAATGTTTTCTTTGTATTTAGT